TTAAGGACCACTGCTCTAGAGCAATCGGCAAACGGAGCAATAGCAACACCGGCAACCCATGCATCTCCAACTGAGAAAACAGTGCAGACTGAGAAAGAGGCTTGATTTACAGCACACGTCTGTGTGCGTGTGTCCAGTAGTAGTTTAGCGGTTGGTGCGCTACGCTACGAACCTAGCGACCCGAGTTCGATTCCCGCTCGCGGTCAACACCAGTGACGATTATCTGAACCAGTCATGGGCCTCCCCTAGGTCGACTCAGCCTCAACTGAGTACCTGGTGCGGTGCGTAAAAACATCGCCACTGGAGAGACAAAGGCGGCCGGGCGTGGTGCTGGCCACCCATCTCCTCGTGTGCCGTTCTGGCCTTCATAGGTGCTCGCTAACAGCACTTGCCCCAACAGCCTGTTAAGGCTATACAGGGGGACCTTTGTCCCAGTCCAATGTACCTGATCAGCGAATCAACCTGCCGTGACCTTGCTTGCCACACGTGTAGATGCGAGATCGGGGTGCACCGATTAAGGGTTTCCAACGATCTGCACCTCCCCTCTGGCGATTCTATGAATTGTCACGTGCCACGGTCATGGTCTCGATTCAAGTATGGATTCCCTTTCATAACGATGGATTAAATGTAAAAGTGGCCGCTGCATTTGGTTGGCTACGTACGGCGCGGTGAGAAATAACTTCAACATACATTGGGATCCTTGGATGAAATTCGCATTATAAATATGAATTATTATTATTACATGAACCCCTGAGAGTACATACAATAGAAACAAATTGTAAAGTACAATAATACATTCTCACAGATACATTTGGAGGTCATTGCCAGGAGATGGAATCGAACTAGCGACATCTGGATCGTAAGTTCGATGAGCTATTTGACCGTTAACACTGCTGCATCTCCCTTCCGTCTTCGATTAAAACATATGTGTACATGTGTGCGTTTTATTGATCTAGATATTTCTGTATGTGCGGCATAACGGTAACCGTTTTGAGCGCTCTTTGCATTAGGTTACCGGTAAATGCAAAAATTAACGAATTTAGCAAACGTGGTATCTAATAATGCATTAGCCTGCACTGCGTCCATATTATTGTCATAATGTTATTAAGAGGCTCACTAGAATTAAAGTAAATATTTGAACTATGATCGTCATATAAAGTGATTTATGACTTCATTATACTCTATGACTGATACTTTTGGCTCAATTACGTATTTATTATACATTTTTTTTAGTTTTCAAATATCGTATTAATAAGATATTACTCTTTCTCAAATTAGTTTTTTCCCCCAATGCTTTACAGTTATTACTAATGTAGTGATGTATTAGTAAAAGCATTTTCGGATTATTTTTCAATAGGCTTGGATTATAACGTAGTGTTATGAACCTGCCGACACGAGTTCAATTCCCACTCATGGTCAAATAACAGTGGCAAATCTTTAAACCGGTCCTGGGCCTCCCCTAGGTCAACTCAGTCTTAAATGAGTACCTGGTGCAATTTATAAATATCAGCACTGGCGCCGGCCTTCATATGTGCTCGCAAATAGCACTTGCCCCAATAGTCTAATTAAGGCTACATGGGGATGTATCTTTGTATTCCTGTTATTAATTATTTAGATGTTATTTTGATTCCTGCAATCAATAATCAAAACACAATTTCTTGTTTAAGTACTACAATGATCCTATGACCTCTCATTGATTACTCCTATTAAGAATGCTATTATGGGTGTGTGATGGTGAGTTTTCGTTAATGGTACTAATCATACAACGCGTGCTTGTGTGTCGCACTATTATGCTGATACTGTGTGGGTTTTGAAATACTTTTTTGGAACAGAAGAATTAATGTGACATCGTTCCGTAATTTTGAGGCATTTCAGGCGTGTAAAACATGTTGTGAACCAGCCTCAGAGCTGTGTTTCACCAGTTAACCACACTTCTCTGATGACGTCCTCAGTAATGATGAATATATATACAGTGTGTATATCATCTGGTCCATAACGTGTGCAGTTTACTCCTTAAAGTGTGACATCTGCTGGAAATTTCTCTTTAAAAGACAAAAGATGTCCGATTCCTAGGCCTATATGGATGTTTTTTTTTTGCCCTTCTCGATATCTGCATTACATTCTTCCAATAACTTTAATATCCTATCTCGATCATGAGTCTGGGTTCCCATCTCTCACCCGAACAGCTGCCACGTGATAATGAATTGCTGCTTTGTTGCTCCGATTGTTGCTAGCTGATGGCTTCAATAATCCGTGCTGTGTCTCCAATGTGTGTGTTTAAGCTACGTTAATATCAAGTGTTTGAGTGAATTTGTCAAAGTATTAAGAAGTCCCTGGGCATTTTCTTCATCAAGTATTGTTGTTGTCTGAGTGTGCGTAACATTAAAGATATATATACATTATCACGTGTGTATTATATTACTGTGTCATAATAAATGTCTATTTTAAGTTATGAATGTGAATATGTATCAATGCTACGAGTTTGTTGTCCATCCCCCGCACCTATGATTTGTGCGATTGGCTACGTACGGTGTGAAAGAAGTTCAACATACAGTGGATACCTAAAATAGGTTTATGCATTGTTAAACTATGTGTGTGTGTGTTTGCACTGCACTCGAATAAATTTAAATATGCATGCCGCTAATAAAAAAAAAGCCAAAGTGGGCTCCAACTCGAGCGAGTGTGGGAAGTTATCATCTCCTGCTTACAGATCCTAAGTCAATTGCGAGCTAACTCGACAGATAACAAATGCCTTGATGACAAAAGAGGTTTTGTTGGGGGGGGGGGCTAGATTGTGTAAATATAAATGTGTCGTTAAACCCGTCACCACCCGACACAGCCAATTATCACGGTTTGTCACGTAAACCAAACACGCTAATTCGTTACGAGTACAGCACACCGGCTGTGTTGGAGAATAAACCCACAGCATTTACAATTCGAGTACGACGTTTCACCAGTGATTGCAAGTGGCATCATCAGGCGACGGCCAAATTTGTGGCGGGTTTAATGACACATTTATATTGATGCGATCTGACCCAAAAACCCCCGCTTATGGCTACTATATTAGTCGCGAAAGCCTTCGTGTTATGCTTGCTTTGTTATATATGTGCTAGTGCACTATACCGCCGACGCAGAATCGCCGAATAGCACACTATATTGTTGTATTTTAATAGGTGTGTGGGTGTGAATTCCGTATGTGAGCAGTTAAGCATGCGAATTACGCGGTATATGTAATGCACGCGTTCACGTTCTCATGACAGGCATTGTGTACGACTACATAATACAGTGGCAGTGTGTCGGACTAGAAAGCGTATGTATATTTAGGTCAGTCAATGCACCCGTGCTTTGCATTTCCATTGATCCGCGTTCAATAATTGTCCGATGTATATACAAAAGCCCCCCTCTCCACTGATATGGTGTCATGTTTCTGCCAACCGTTTAACACGACGTGGTTATCTCTGCTCACTGGATCGGTAAGCAGACAGATGACAGCGAACGATGATGATGATGATATGCACACAAGTGCTGTATCAACGTACTCTTCTTAATAGCAGGCGCATGTTGTAGTAGAGTCAAGGGCTGAACGATTTGGGGGAAATATCGAATTGCCATTTTTTTCTGACAGATATTGCGATTGAGATTTGATTTGCGATTAAATTTGTTTAAGTCAAGCTTCAGTTCAATATTCACTGTGTAATAGATTTAAAACATGTGATGGAGCATTACCACATGATACCATCACATATGAACTGCTCTATATATTCTAATGCATGGATGAAAACTTAAAAGGTATGAATTGCTTCCAACATGTATTTATTATAAGGTTTTAATTTAAATGGAACAATCAAGCGTAGAACAATTGTTAAGTTAAATAAAGTTATAATAATACAAAATAGAAAATTCCAATAACAAAGTAATAGGACTTTTAAAATCGCAAAAATCGCAGCCTTTTGCGATTTCTAATCGCATTGTTTCAAATTGCGCGTTTCGATTTGAAATCGATTAATCGTTCGACCCCAGACTATAGTCTACTCCAACCGTCAACATAATGTGGAGTGAGCAAGAGTGTTTTACAGAGTTCACGTGGAGCGGTGGACACACAAGCGCAGTATAGGTCGGGACGCATCTTAATCGATATCGTGGCGAGCATTGACCACACTTGCCAAGCATAGATCCAACCACCTTGGGCACCCCCCCCCCCACCTTCTAAGCACCTGTGTGTAATCATGTACAGCAACATGCGTACATAGCCCCCCCCTCCCACCTCCCCATAGACCCCCCACGATAGCGTTGCCCCCCACCCCTCCCAACTTGGTTGAGTTATCATCTGTAGGCAGGTCGCTTCTTGCAAGAAGAAGCGAATAGCTCAGTGAGCTTTACCTGTTAAGATAAAAAAAATAGTTTCGTGCACTTTTAAAAAAGTGGTGTGTTTACCTTTCCTAGACTTTTCACCCCACTCGTGCTTTTTGAACTGTTTGCTGTTGTAACGCCTTGACCCGTCCCTACCGGACATCTGTGAGAAAGAGCTTTATAGCTCATCGGATTTCTCCTGCAGTGTAAACACACACACACAGTAGTCTGATTGGGATCTTTCCAGCAGACTATACAACACGAATGATGCTGCTACCAGAGTCCACATGGCAAGTGTGTCTACACGTGTGGCAGCCCCCCCCCCCACCACCACCAACCTGCCCCCCCCCCCACCACCACCTGCCCCCCCACCAACCTGCCCCCCCCACCAACCTGCCCCCCCCCCCACCAACCTGCCCCCCCCCCACCAACCTGCCCCCCCCCCACCAACCTGCCCCCCCCCACCAACCTGCCCCCCCCACCAACCTGCCCCCCCCCCCACCAACCTGCCCCCCCCCCCACCAACCTGCCCCCCCCACCAACCTGCCCCCCCCACCAACCTGCCCCCCCACCAACCTGCCCCCCCCACCAACCTGCCCCCCCCCACCAACCTGCCCCCCCCCACCAACCTGCCCCCCCCCCCAACTCACACGTGCTCTGTCCCCGCCGGGAGCTGCTGCATGAGCTTCATCACTGAGAGCGGCAGCCCCGCGGCAGCAGCAGCAGCGCAGTCCGCGTGCGCGTCCCTGCAGCGGCACGACTCGGGGCACGCGTGCACCACCCCCACCACCCCCACCACCCCCATCGTCAGCACCATCACCAGCAGCACCACCAGCAGCACCAGCAGCACCGGCACCGGCACCATCGTCCAACGCACACCGCGGCGCTGGCCGCAGTCTCCCCGCGCTCTCCTCGCCATGGCGAGCGGGGAGGATGAGTAGAGGGAGGATGGAGGGATGGAGGGAGGGAGGGAGACACCTCTACCCGAGCGGAGGATGACGAAGACGAAGAAGAGGCGGCGGCGGCGGGGGCCGAAGATGAAACTTCACACTTGACAGCCCGCAGGAGTTTGCGCAACTTTTCTCACGGCCGGACGGGCCGAGGGCGCTCTTCAGCCGGCATTGGAGGAGGAGGAGTGGGTGGCTGTATCGGGGCTACTGCCGCTACTGCTGTTGCTGCTGCTGCTGTGGCTGTCTTGTCTGCCTATGCAAGTGCCGATGAGTCCGGCGGCGGCGATTTCTCCGTTTGACGATTTGTTGTTGTTGTTGTGTCCCGGCCAACTCGCACTCACAACTTCCCGAGCTCGCTGCCAAATCCTTACCCCCCCACCCCACCCACTCACACAAGAAGCCACCCACCCACGTCTCAACTCCACTCCTCCCCTCCATCCACTGCGGCGTGTCCTCTGGAGGCCGCTTGCCCGTGAGTGAGCCAGGGGGTGGGAGCAGGCGGCCGTGGTACCGCCTGCCGGCTTGACACACGAGAGGGTGGGGAGTGGGTGGGTGGGTGAGTCGTGCATTGAGGCTTGCCCGCACCGCACACTTAGCGCGTGTTGCCGCACGCTCCTACTTGCTGCGCTGCTGTCTCGCGTTAAGAATACGCTGGGAAAAGTTTCGAAGTGAGTCTAGATTTGAAGCTTTCGTGACTGCAAGGAATCATATTCTTAGGTTTTTTCGGTAAAGTCACGTAGGTAAAACATCAAAATTAATGAAAATAAAATAAAACAAAAAAAATCACGACGTTGCCTCCGAAACGTCGTGATTTTTTGTTTTATTTTATTTTCATTAATTTTGATGTTTTACCTACGTGACTTTACCGAAAAAACCTAAGAATATATTTCGAAGTGAGCTCTTCGTCAGCTCAGCCCGGTCAAACGACGAGCATCGATGCGTGCTTGTCGGGCGTTTTAAGCAACCCCCCCCCCCTCCCCGCTTTCTCCACGTGCCCGCAGAGGCCGGTCGGTGGACATTCCACATTCCGTATGGCGGGGCCGAGTTATGTTCTTCGGACAACCGCGAATGATTGCCCTGCAACGTGGTTTTCGTATGCATCCTGACGAATGGGTTGAGTCAACTGCCCAACCAGCATCTGAACTCAGGTGCGCGCAATATCAACCAGATCTCTTCTGGAGTTGTGGGAAAATATTTTAGTCGCAGGGCTGGGAGTTGGTAAGCGCCGGGAAATATTCCATGAGAAATAAAGCCCTTGATATAACTTCGCATTTGAGTACACAGCTTAGTTTTCATTCGGTGGTAAGAGGGTTTATTCTAGGGCTGATTTCATTTCCCCATGGCTTTCTATGACGTCTTCAATCGTTCCATGTTCTCTTATTTTCCATATTCATCCAGTATCTTTATTTATCGTGGATTCGTATAACGTGCGCTCTGCTTGTTCTTTGCAACTCAGATTCAGTGTGCATGCAGTCTTCGACTTCTGAACGGGGCTAACGTTCTTGAGGTCCGTTCATGAGCTGATTTATTCGTATCTCAGAACTTAATTTGTATTGAACATGTGGTCAGTGTTATAACTTGTGTTATAGTAAACCAAAAAAGGAAAGCATTGTTAAACTCATGAATAATAAATATTGTACATTTGTATGAAATACTGTAAATAAAACAAAATAAAGTAAAAAAAGGCAGCGTTATTGTTTTTTATTGGATGTGATTTACAAGTAACACCTTACTGTACTCATCTTCTTGGTTCTTTCGGTAAAGTCACGTAAAATGGAAATAATAAAATAATAAAAATAAAACATACAGTAATATAATAATATAATAAAATAATATAATTATAATATATTATTTTATTGTGTTTTATTTTTATTATTTTATTATTCCCATTCTACGTGACTTTACCGAAAGAACCAAGAAGATGAATCCCTGCAGTCACGAAAGCTTTAAATCGAAACCTTACTGTACTGTTGTGCACATTGATTTTTCTTATATTTTGTATTTGTAATTTTGCCTAGCATTGTATGATATCCAATATATAATGTATGCGTTTCCATCTATTTTACAGTTGACTATGCCATTAGTTCGTTCAATTTTTCAGCCTTCAATTATAGCGTGAAAATTAAAATGTACGTATTGCTATTGTGCATGTGTTGTTTCATTTACCAGCGTACGCATTTATTTTCTGCATGTCAAAGGAGGTAATTCATATGCAATGGTATGTTTCCTTTCATTGTCATATATAATTTACTGAACGCACTCCATCCTCTTGTCTCTTTATGTCATCATGTATTCCAGTTGTGTCCCTCCAACAGTGATTGTATCTGTTGAGGGGAGCGGTGGTGTAGCGGTTAGCGCTATGCACCTGGCGACCCGAGTTCGATTCCCGCTCACGGCCAACACCCAGTGACGATTATTTGAACCGGTCCTGGGCCTCCCCGTAAGTCGACTCAGTCTCAAATGAGTACCTGGTGCGGTGTGTAAACATCACCACTGGGGAGACAAAGGCGGCCGGGCGTGGTGTTGGCCATCCCACCCCCTCGTGTGCCGTGCCGGCCTTCATTGGGTGCACGCTAACAGCACTTGCCCCAACAGTCTGGTCAGGCTATCCGGGGAGACTTTGTATATATTTGAACACTGCCAATGAACGTTTTTGGGTTAGATCGCATTATTTATAAATGTGTCGTAACCCTCCACCACCCGACACGGCCAATCAGTAAAAAAAAGTGTCACGTTAACAAAAGACAAATAGGTCACTACTTTAGCCCACTGGTGTGTTGAAGAGTGAATCCACAACAGGCTATGCATCTACAATTATATTGGGGTTGGATGTGCCATTAGCGTGCGTCCAATTTCCCTGCTTTGCATTCTCGATTAATGTCCACTGCTTTTTGTGCACTGCTATTAGTTTGCAGTTGGCGATGTTGTCAGAGTATTGATGTGCGGTAGCAATGGATTGCCATTAAAACGTTTGGGAGAGCAAAGAAAATAATCAAATCCAAATTGTCACGTTTTAATTTGAATGTGGTTCATTTCTAACTGCTCTCCAAAAGATAAATTGTGAAAAGGCTACGTTGTGTGCTGTGATTAATTGTATTGGTTTCACAGTTGCCAGCCGATTAGCACCATCTCTAAATTGGTTGGAATCCTTCATGTGTAGGATAATTTGACCTCAAATGTATTCACTGCATCCTGAATGCATTCAACACAATGTAGAGGATAAATACTTTTAAAAATATATATCCTGTTAGCAAGTCGTTTTTTTTTTACAATGTGTACAACTTTAGTAAATGGCGCTTTGCGGAATAAGAGGAATGCTGTTGTGGTGTAACTGTTAGCAATGGACTGAAAATCCAGAGGTCGCCGGTTCGACTTGAGACAATTTGCTTTTTCTTAACCGCCCCCCCCCCCCCCGCCTCTATCCACCGAGCAGTCCTCATGAATTCGCGACAGGGTAAAGTGCGGGTGCGTCCACGTCTTCCAAGACGTCTGGCCGATGTGGAGGAGTAGGCCTAAACATCCTTCAGAACAGTGATTCTTAAGCTGGGGTGCACGCACCACCCTTGGGGTGAAAGATGTGGCGAGACATGAGCAGATTTTTTTGGAAGGTAAATAATCGAAACACACATTTAAGCACGAGCATGCGAGTTACTACTTTAAATTTTGATTTAAAGCTTTCGTGACTGCAGGGATTCATATTCTTGGTTCTTTCGGTAACGTCACGTAGAAGGGAAATAATAAAATATATACAACAATATATAATTTTATTTTATTATTTCCCTTCTACGTGACTTTACCGAAAGAACCAAGAATATTACTACTACTTTATTTCATGAAACCCTCTATGTATTTATTAACATTGTACTTTTTTTCACGATTGAGAACCGAAGAGGGTGCAAGGCTGCAGAAAAAAAAGTTAAGAACCACTGCTGTAGAGGGAATCTCTAGAGGGAATGTCTAGAGGGAATGTCTAGAGCTCCCTCTGGTGTGGAGGCCCTTCTGCCAACAGTGGCATGAGAAAGTAGTTCCAGTGCTCCACTTTAACCGTTTACATGAATAACTGAGTGAAGCAGAACGTCAGCACACTGCATAGTACATCACTTTGCCTATATTCGTATACGTACATAACAGTAGTGTAACCGGTGGCATGTAAGATGCTGTATGTACATTTAGATTGTGGTTGTTGTAGGGCACACTTTTCCATTGTGCACCTTAGATTACTATTGCTGCAAAAACATGTGCTGATTACACATATTCATGGTAAATTTTGCGTTAGATTGACAACATTATGTGTTTGGTTTGACAAGAAACATGTTTGAAAAACAAATAAAATACACTGAATAAAGAAATTATGTTAGGAAAAATATATGACGGTGTTTCAATACATGAAGATAAACTTTTAATAATTCTGTATCCTACGTGTTATTGTAACCTAAGTATTTCAACGCCTACAGAGACTTGTAATAATGATGTATTACAATAGTTAAAATACTTAAGTGAGTATGACTTTCATGAACGTCGTTTAGTTAGTGGGTCATGACTTCCACCCATTTCTCTTCGGATTTTACTATTATATGAAATGTTTTTATTGTTTTACCGGGTAAGGCCCACTGAGCGATATAACTCTTTTTTCAGAAGCGATCTGGCCCCAAATGATAGCTCAACGAAGTGGCTTGTCACGTGGAAATGTATCGCAGGCAAACACTCTCCATGATAATATATTGCAGATCCCCTGGACAACTTGCACAGTCTTTTGAGTGTGTAACAACAATTGAAACGTATCAGAGAATAAAGCCGCAATAGTGTGACAGGTGTGTGAATTATGACAGTGTGAACAAACCACTGAACGTGTTTGTGATTGTGACATATCTGACACGTCGGTTGATATTTGAACTCCAGCCTCCGTTGCTCCTGCTGAGAGGTTGATTTTGGACGGCGGCTGAGTTGGAATAGAGGACATGCAGCAGTCGTGGCGATTCTGCATGACGAGATGTGATTTGTGCCCATTTGGGTTTGATGAGCAACTGTAGAGCAAACAAGATACTTCATTGACGTGCCTTAGACAGATCCCCACGTGAAGGCAGTGGACACATTTAGGCCTTGCTTCATCACCCGCTGATGAAACCTGGAAGCAATGGCTGGCGAGTGACCATCAGAGCAGTGACAGGAAGCAGCCAAGAAAGGAGGTGAAACTTTCGCTCCCCAATGTCTTGCTACGCCACTGCTCGTGGAAAGACCTTGACTCTGCGGAGCCATAGAGAGCCCCCTCCAGCGGGGATGTGTGCTAACGAAACTCACTAATCTAACGAAACTGATTCAACTATTTTTTTTCCCAGGTAAGGCTCACAGAAGCGACCTGGCCACAAATGATGGCTCAACGAAGCAATAATGTATA